TTTGTTTTGTTTTTCTCTGTTTTGTTTTGTTTTCTCTACAAGGGTCATGTTATCTGGACTCATTTGAAGATCCTAACATACCCATTATGAGCCAGGTTCAAGTTCACTCCCACAGGGCGCTCTGCCTCCCTGCTTTCTGGAGCCTGCTGTCAAATGATCAGGATTTCTGGCTGTCTGTTTCAATACAAATAGTCCTGAGAACAATTAGATGTTTGGCCCAAGATCTTAAGCATCCAACTTCTATGCCAGGCAGTGATTGACTTTCCCCTCTAACCTGGCCAAGATGCCCTGGACTCACTTGATCTCTGCAGCAATGGTATCTGTGGCCTGCAGGGAACTTCCTCAAGCCTTTCTCTTTGGGTGTTTATTGTGGCCCAGAATCCTGCTCCCCTCCTCCTGCTTCTGTGGAAGTCCCTTCTCACTCAGATTTGTAGAGATCCAAAATTAATCAGCCAACCCGAAACTGGCTTCTCATTTTCTCCTCCTTTTCCTATATTTTCTACCTTGGACCACCATCCACTCAGTCAATCAAACAGAACTCTGCTTGACCCATCTACTTATTTATGTGAACAAAGTTTCTAGCACTGAGAGCTATTAAAGAAAACAAAATCAGTATAATGATTCCAAATCCTGTTTCATTATAGTAATAAGAATTATTTATCCATAGACTCAAGAACTAATTTAAGGGAGGAAAAACTACTCCCATTCATTAAAACTTTTATTTTCCATTCTATTCATTAGCTAGTCAACATTTTTAAACATTCTTCTGAACAATTTTGGACAAGTAATCATTTCAAAAGAAAACTCAATTAAGAAGAAAATTTTATGTCTTATAGTTTATGATCATATCAGTCTTAATCAATATCAATATCCCAATAATGATATTGTGATACAGTTTTGTAAGATGTAGCCATTGGAGGAAAATGGTTAAAGGATATGTGGAATCTCTGTATAATTTATTACATTTACATATGAATATATAATTATCTACAAATAAAAAGCTTAGTTAAAAGTTCATAAAAATATGTTTTATTCAAAATACATGTTTAGCAGAGAAATAGATGATCAACTAAAGACTTCTAAAAATATGTATATGATGCATTGGTATATGTATATATTGCATTGGTATAAAGTTGTACAGAAAAAATAGAATAGAAACAAATTCAAAGATAAAACAAAAGCTCAGGTGCAGAGTTGCTCAAAAAAAGTGTGTGACCATGAGTTTTTTAAATGAATGATGGCAGTTATCAAATTATGCTACTGAGGCTATGTTTAGAAGGACAGTTTAACATTTATTTTAAGATGTCAATAATTTAAAATGATATGCCAGAAATTATATTATTTGCTATTATTGAAACTTAGATGTTACTCTTAGAATTTATGAACAGGTACAGCACATTTCCAAAGTCATTTACAGAGCACAAGGGAGCAAAAAGAAGTTTGAAGAGCACTGCTCTAGCTATTCCAAGTTTATCCCACTTCTAAGTATAAAAGAGGCACCTTCATAAAAAGGGAAGGTTTTGTGTTCTCGACCCATCTAATGAGGGGTAGAACAGAGAGGCCAGGTGAAGCTATATAACATAAAAGGCAGGTGGGCTCAGAACATCTGGAGAGACAGAGGGGAGGCACATGAAGAGACATGTGGAGAAGGACCTGTTCACCTCTCAGCTTTGACCTTGTACCAGGGACTTTGGGGAGATGGAGTTGAGATATGTAGAGATCCTTGGAAGAGATATGTGGGTGACAGACATGTGTGGATGCTAACAATGGTAGCCACTACCTTGATTAGACTTTGATTTTGATTTGGACTTTAATCTCAGACTTGCCTGCCCCTTTCACCCCCATCCTATGGTACCTTAGACTTGTGGCCAGATTTTAGGTCTAATGGCCCCATTTCATGCCAATCCTCTTTTAGCTGGGAATTTACTCATGAGGGGATGGGTAACTTTGGGTTTTTGTTGGGAAATTTATCTTTTCTTCTCTCTGATGCACATTAACACTATTAAAGCACATTCACATTAAATATGCTTTGTCTTTGGACACACAGATGGCCAGACCCCAATAGAGCATGTGAGTTTGGGAGTCTCCCTCAGTCTGCCTACTAACATAAGCATACCCAAGCTTGTAAATTTGGGATCTTAGCATCTACCGTTTTTTTTACTCTGGACTGCTCTCTCATTATCTGCTCAAATTTCAACTCTCCTCTCAAATTTCAGCCCTTCTGAGAACTTTTTGCTGACGTTTTAGTACAATCAGGCATGTTTTTTTGCATGTTTCCACTCAACCTCAGGTGTGGCACCATCACACATGTTCGATGAATATATTCAATAGCCAAGATATAAAAACAACCCAAATGCCTTGATGATGGATAGCGAACACATGATAAATGTGCATAACTAAATACTACTCAACCATAAAAAAAAGATGAACTCTTGTCATTTATTGACAACATGGATGGAACTTGAGGGGATTATGCAAAGAGAAATAGGTCAGAAGCAGAAAGAAATACTACAGTATAATCTATTCATTTGTGGATATAAAAATAAAAAGCAAATGAACAAAACAAGAACAAGCTCTTAGACTCTAACCACAGAATGGTGGTTACTGGAGGTGATGATATGGGAAGAACAGGTAGAGGGGACCAATTTGTTGGTGATGGATGGTGACTGGATATTTGGTGGGCATGGTATGATATATACAGTTGTTAAAAGTGAGCAACAGGCCTCCCTGGTGGCACAAGGGGTTAAGCACCACACTATGAAGTAATCTGCAGCCACTGCAGCATGACTTCGATCCCTGGCTGGCCAGAGAGAAACCCACATGGTGAAGCAGATCTCTCCTGTCTCACCCGCTGCTCCCCTCAGCAGTGTATTTCATGAGCCTGCCTGTTCTGTTCCCCGATCTGTCTCTGGTGAATCCTCTCACCCCTCACATCTCTGGCATATACCCCAGCTCTTGTATGCATAAATAAATAAATCTTTTTAAAAAATTTAAAAAAAAAATAAAAGTGAGCAACAATGAACCTGAAACTTTTATCTTAGTTTGAAACTAAGTTACCAAAAAAAAAAAAAAAAGAAGAAAGAAAGAAAGAAAAGAAAAAAAAAAGAAAAAAGAAAAGAAAACAAAGGTGGATGTTCATGTCTGTCTCCAAATTATGCTGTGCAAACCTTTAGAGTAAATTTCTTTTATTATTCAGTTTCTGGTCTTGCCACAAAACAGATTCAACAGATTTCTGTAAATAAATGAATCATTGAATAATCACAAATATGGTATTACTAGCTTGTAAAAGGACTAACTTTCCACTAATTTAAGTGTTCTGCCTTGAAGGTTTATTTTCAGTTTAGGTGCTATGTACCAAGGCACTCAAACCAGTGAACATGAGAGTTCAAGGAGCTCCCATTCATTCATTTACTTATTGAAAAAATCTGCCTTACATTCCTACAGCATAAAAAACACAAACTGATGCAGAAAATATTCATGATGGCAAAGGAGGACTATAGAGGACCCTTGTTTTTCCAAAGAACTTAGGCTACTGGTAGTCAGAAATTGAATTCAGTCTTGATATTTTCAGACTATTGTAATTACCTGCTAGGTCACACAGTTAACTCTCAAAATGCAGGGGTCTTGCATGTTGACACAGATAGATAATCTTGAGTCTTTGAAAGACTTTATTTAGACAATCCTAAATGACTTCTTTTATCATGGTATGTCAGCTCTCTATACTATTCTACACCTGATTTAGATCAATACAGTTCCTTCAATCACAGTTGTAATTGAACAAGAAGAAATAAGTAAGAACATGAGAAATTTCCCATTGAGTCAGATCTCTTGGCTATTCTGTCTTGTCTTCTACTTCTGAAAACCACATTATGAAACATGTTATAGTAGAACACAGTTATCCCTAAGATGTTTGAGAATATCCCTATATGTTTGTAAATACATGTTTGTAAATATCCTTAGGGTCTTTGGAAATTTATTATGAAATAATTTAAACATTTCTTGAAAACATTTATTCATTCATCCCATATTCAATGAGCATGCACAGAGCAGCAGCAGCTCTATGTGAAGTTCTCTGCTTATGCATCAAGATCACAAAGTAAATTCAGATTTCACAATTTTACAAGTAGTCATCTATGTGTATTGCACAGATCCATATAATTACATCACATGCATACCTATGTATAACCACAGCCACAGTCAATATACTGAATCATACCATCACCATTAAGATCTCCCTTCTGTATCCACACATATCACTTCCCTCCCCAACTTACCCACTCCTAACTTTTGGAAAACATTAACTTTTTCTCTATCTGTATAATTTTGTTATTTTGAGAATACTACATAAATGGGATCATACAATGATTATTGCAAAAGAGATTTCAAAGTTCAGCATCTTTTTTCTAGTCTGAGTATTTGCTTCTATAACTTAAAGTACAAGTTAGTCCATGCCAGCAATTTCTATACATTTGGACTAAACCTAGATTATACATTTGGACTAAACATTCTGGGTATCTATCTACCTCTGTTTGCCCTAATATGTTTTTTTTAATATTTATTTATTTATGTATACAAGAACTGGGGTACAAGCTAGGGGTGGCAGGGTGAGAGAATTCACCAGAGACAGAGTGGGGAGCAGAACAGGCAGACTGACTGAAATACACTGCTGAGGAGAGCAGTAGGCAAGACAGGAGAGGTATGTTGTGCCATGTGGGTAGCTCCCTGGCCAGCTGGGGATTGAACTCATGCTGTGAAGGCTTTGGATTGCTTCATAGTGCTGTGCTAAACCCTTTGCAACACCAGGGAGGCCCTTGCCCTAACATCTTTTAGAAGTCTGGACTTAAATAGTTTGACAGATTATTCCCAAACACCATTCTCAAAGAAAAGCATCTAATTCATTGAGTCAATGCAATTTTTGCTTTCTCCTCCCTTGAACTCACACAAATTCTGCTCAGAACCCCTCAATTTTTTAAACAATATTTGGTCTTCATTTTACTCACCCAGATGGCTGGTGGCTTCCTTGTCCCAAGGCCAGGTGGCAGCACCTGCAAGGTCTTCCCGCACAGAACTGGCAAAGTAGACATTGAGGAAGTGAGTACTGTTGAGCTGTAGTGCCTCCTTGAGTTCCTTCACACTCATATATGCCCTGCAGGGGACACAAAGGGAGAACATGTCACACCCAAGGTTTGGTATTTTGAGAACAGCACAGCCATACCTAAGCAAATTCTGAAACTCCTAGTCAGCACTGAGGAAGTCTGAGAAGCTGAGAACAAATTATCGTAAGACCAGGGAAAAGGCACTAATACAAATTTGGGATATTAACAAAATGTTATTCGAGACAAGATACATAACATCCCACCTTTTTTATTTAGCACTGAACTCTCTATATGAATGCTCAGTATTTGATAGCATATTCAATTCCCTACTCTGCACCCAGATCATTTCTTCAAGATAAATCCAATAGTATTATTCTTTTTTTCATTTTGTTCATTTATTTTTACATCATTGTTGCTTTTTAAACAACATTTGCTTCCCTCCCCTCAGATGTAGTCCCCATAGATTTTCCTTCACCAATGCACCACAATCTCCTGTGCTCCTCCCTCTGATATCCCTCCCTCCTCCTCCCCTGCAGGATGTCTCTGAATTATAATTGCTTTTTTGTTGTTGTTGTTGTGTTTTGTATTGTTATTATTTTTTTTTGCACTGTTGTCTTATTTGGCACACCTAATTCTTTACCCTGAGAATTATCCCCAGGCCATGGTGAGGATTATCTCCAACTCTCAGTCCTTGATTCTTTCCACCACAATGCATTATTGTTATTATAAGAGGACAAATGGAATCTGTTTCAGCATATGAGTGCTTCAAGTAGTAATTTTTAAAGAAAAAAAGGGAAAAAATGAGATGAGTTATAGGGAGTAGAATACATCATAAAGCTACTGCAAAGAATATTAATTGTATGCACATTTTTCTTTCTGGTCCCTTAATCCACACAAACTCCACCCCTACTCCAATTTCCTTATGATACTTACCAAGTATCTTTATTAGTGGCCTTCAAAGCACTAGGCAATATTACATTCACACTTATGCACAGGTTATGGCTTATTGGAAACACATGCCCAGAGGCCCATTAAAAAAGGAAACAAGCATGTGATTTATTTATAAGCTCATGTATAGTAAAAGGACTTCATCTTATGAGCATCAGTGAAAGTTAAAATTTTACTATGAGCAAACAGAGCCTCACTGTTCTCACTGAAGAGCTATTTTAAGAAGGAACAACTAAACCAGAGCTCATTGGACCCTTGGACTTCCAGAATGCTTCCCATGGTGACTGTGGTCTGCACTCCAAAAAGAAGATTATCCCTATCATAGCTTCAGCTAGGGAGACAGTTTCTTTGAAACAAGTTGGAAATTCCATTACAGACCATGTTTCATTGTTAGTGACCTGGTAGACTCTGAAATCTCCCAAATCAGAAGCTCATGTTAGGACCCCCATGACCATTCTTCTCTTGATGGCTGTGCCTCTCAACCCCATGGTTGATAACATCTCATTTAATACACATGTAGGATACAACAAAAAAGAGTATCTATGAATTTGAGATCATGAAGAAGACTGTTTCTTTGGAACAGAGCCAAAAAGGGGAATAAAAATAAAGAAACAAAAAAAAAAGATTTTGTTTTAGAATAAAAGTTGCTTTGGAGAAAAATGATTTTAAAATGTTAGTTCTTATTCACTTATAATACCTTGGAAAAATAGCTCTCAGTCCCCACAAAAAATCATACGAATCCCATGGGATGATGTTACATGTGATCAGAGGTATATTCCTTCTGCTGCTTCCTGGAGACACATTGTTTTTTGGACTGTTGCCTGGGTCCCTGGACATTAGTCACATTCCCTTTCCCTTGCTCCTTTATTAAAAATAACTGCAATTTCCTGTATTGACAAATTGGTGGTTTGGAACTGTGATGACATCAAGTAACACTTCAACATGTGGATGATTCAATAAACCAAGAGAAAGGAGCAGAGGGGGAATGGGGGGTGAAAGGAAAGAGAGGAGGGTGGGAAAAAGAAAAGAAAGGAAGGAAAGGAAATAGAAGGGAGGAGAACAGAAAAATTAAGGGCACAGAGAATTAGAGACTGACCTACACACAGTCAGAAGATCAAGAAAGAAGAATTGTCCCCTCTTTTTTTCTGTCCCTATTCCAGAGTTCCCGTTGAAAGTGGGAGTTGGTGATGGTAATTTTTCTCTTTTCTCTGTCCTTATTTTCCCCAAATCCTTCGTTCTTGGTACAGTTTAGTTGAGCTATCTGCGTATCACTGGCTTTTCTGTCATTTACCAGTCTTGGCCGCCATCTTCTGTCCTCTCTCACCCCAGCAGTTCCTCTAATTTTCCCTGAGCCTCCTGTAAGAGGCCTCCTTCTTCACCACCAACATCTTTAGCTGGTTTAACTCAGCTCTCTTTTCTTCCTGCAGCTCTCTCTCCAGCCAGAAATGACCCTTCCACATGACAGTGTTTATATCACGCTGGTTGCAAGCCAGGTGTGCTTAACCTGAGTCCTGCACTCCACAGAGATGTTGACAGAAATCTCAGCAAGTAAATAAGAGAAAGTAAGTGTTTTATATTTAGTGAGAGTTGGAGGCAGTTGTTAGTTGAAATAATAGAGGAAAATCTTTAGCTAGAAACAAAGACTGTTGTCAAGATTATTCTCTAACCAAAAAGGGTAAAAGTGTAGACATCAATATGTCTGCCTTTCATAACACATGTATACCATTTCAGAAGTTAATCAGAGTTAATTAAGATAAATGTCATAGCTTGTCAACTAATATGGCCAGAGGCTGGATCAGACCTGGTGAGGTCAGGTGGGCAGTGGGGGAAGAGGAGAATAGAGATCCTTAAATTCAAGAGCATCCTTAAATTCTGAAGCATCTTGTTTCAGAAACTATTTATTAAGAAATAGACTTGGCATCAAAATAAATTATTATTCAAAGGGAAATAAAATAACATATGAAAATATCATAGAAAGCATAAGGGTCATGCACTGACCAGGGTTGTGTATGATAAGGGAGAAGAATTGCACTCATATGCTTAATTTCTGCCTGGATCTCCTTTTAGTCATAGTCTTCACACTCTAGATTGAGATTCTCACTGTCCCTCTGGACTCAGATCCACCAAAATGAAAAATAGTGTCTCAATTTTTATAAAAATTTTCTCAGCACTTCCCAAGAGAAGACATACAGATGGCCAAAAGGCACATGAAAAGTTGTTCATTATTTCTTATTATTGGGACATACAAATCTAAACAACAATGAGATATTAACTCACACCTGTGAAAATAGTTATTATCCAAAAGATAAGAAACAAGTGTTGGAAGGATATGGAAAGAAGAGAACCCTTGTCCATTGTTGGTGGTAATACAAATTGCTGCAGTCATTATGGAAAGCAGTATAGAGATTCTCAAAAGATATAAAAATAGAAATTGAAATTCCGTAAAATTCAGTCATCCCATTTATGGGTATTTACCCAATATGAAAACACTAATTCAAACAGATATATGTGTCACCATGTTTATTATATTATTTACAATAACCAAGAGCTGGAAACAATCTAAATGTCCATCAAGATATGATTGGATAGAGAAAATGTTGTATATAAACACAAAGGAATAGTACTCAGCTATAAAAAGCTGAAATCCTGCCATTTGCAAGAATATGGATAGAGAGCTAGATGATACTATGCTTAGTGAAATAAGTCAGAGGGAAAATGACAAACAACATGATTTACTCATTTGTGGTAATAGAAACCAACAAATTAAAGAAAAAAAAATAAACCTTTAGACTCTAAGACCAGCTAGTGGTTACCAGAAGAGAAGGGGGAAATAAGGTAGGTAAAATAGGTAAAGGGGTCAATTGTATGTGGTGAAGGATGGTACTGAACTATTAGTGGTAAACATAATAAATATATATATATATATATTGATCTATAATAATGTACACCTAAGACCAATATGATGATATAACCCAATGTTATGGCAATACATTTTTTGAAAAAAGAACACCTCCCCCAATTGTCTTAGTCACAATTCTCCTTGAGACTAATATATCAAATTTTTTGCTCACTGCTTAAATTTGTTCTTTCTGACATGTCCCTGGAAAAATATACTCCTGTCTCACCATTGTGTGATTGACTTACTAGTCTGGGATTATCCATTGCCTAGTCTGCACTCCAGTGTGTTTTGTCTCTAGACTGAATGCATTCATTTTGGTTTCTGTCATGCTCCCTGACCATTACCTCTGCCACACCTCAGTATCTAACTGCACATGCCAGCCCCAACTCTTGCTTATTTCTAAGTAGAAGTCAAAGAATGATTTTAAAATGCCTCTTTGTGTTCTGTGCTCTAGCTTAACAGGCAGTTGAGTAACTACTCTATGGACTTGTAGAAGTAATTCAAGAGAGGAGACAGTTCTTAAGATGCCTGAAGGAAGCAGAGTGAGTATCAGAGATTGGCATGTTGAAACACACAATGCAAAGGATGCATGTGTGCCTTGAGATACAGACCCAGAGCTATATTCTCACAATCAGAGCAAACTCCCTCTAGTGGAAACTCCTGGCTTCATGCCAGGATGGTGAAGGAGACTCATGAAAACAGAGCAGCTAGGTTGGAACTGCCAGGATCCAAGCTTTAGTGGGGAAGAAATGAGCCCACGGCCTGTGACTGACTCTCCAGGAAAATGGTCCTTTAACCGTTTAAGTCCAAATTGTCTCAATAAGCCAGAAAGGAGATGTAATGCATCAAAAAAAAAGAACTTAGTTCTTTTTAAAAAAAAACACAAAGAATGATAAATTTTTTAATTTACATTTTTCAAAACAGTAAGCAAAATAGAGTATAATACACTAATAGAAAAAAAGAGTTCTTCAAAGTCTTCCTCAATGCCAATGCAAATAATCATTATGGTGGAAATATAGTCAATAATTCATTTTCCTAGCCATCATTTATTTGCCCCTAATAATAATAGATATCACGATATTAAGTCTAAACTATATGGCAGATGCTTCATACATATTTTCTCATGTAAAGCTGTCAGTAATCCTATGAAGTTAGCAAAATGATTTCACTTTACAGATAAAAAACTAAAGCTTACAAAGATAA